TGTGTGCCAGTCTGTGCTAAACCCTGGCCATGCATGCTCTCCATCAGTCCTCACAACAAATTCACACACTATCCCCATTTTGCAGCTGAGGAAACTGAGGCACAAGACAGCCAAGCCAAAGAATGGCTGATGGCAGGGCCAAAATTCCCACATAGGTTTTTCCACCCTGAGCCTAAGATATAACCACTAGGTTAAACTTCTACTCACAACACTAGAATGATGATTTATCTATTTGTAAATCCAAATTTCCACAATCCTGATGGCCTGAAGAGAGAGTCGAAGGCCACTCATGCCCATGCAGATAGATCTGTCTGTAGTGTGAGGAGCTGGAGGGGAAAGCCACCTGGATGTCTGCAGGGACAGAGCTCCCATCTGCTCCAGGTACTTCTCATTCTGTCTACTGAGCGCATTTCAACCCCAGAGAACACAGAGCCGGAGCTGACTAGACAGAAATGATACAGTGCAGCCCTCAGTTTTTCTTGGTTTTGACATCTTCTGGTATGTGCCAAATTAGCAATAAATTCTGAGGAAAACCTCTGAGAGAAAGCCCCTCCTTCACACAAACCAACTGATATTTTGCAAAGGAGAATTGTTGATTTTTCTCTGATCCCGCTCAGCTTTCCCATTCAGAAGCCTTTCACTGGAAAAGTTCAGCTGGAAGAATGATTCGTGTTCTCATTTCGGTAAAGACACCAAAGTTTGTCATCATCTAAAATGGGAGGAAGAATAGCAGCATGGAAGGGGTATTCTGGAACCTGGCTGTTCCAAGTTTTCATTCTGGCTGCGTCTTTCACCAGCTGCGGAACCCTAAGCGGGTTCCTGCAACTTCAGGTTCCTCAACTGTAAAATAGGAATAGTGATGTCATGAAGTAGCTAGTAAGTGTTTACTTTGTGTCAGGTGTTGTTCTGAGCACTGTAGATTCCATTAACTATTTAATCCTCCCAACAGTCCTTGAAGTAGCTACTATTATTATGCCCATTGCACTGATGAAAGGCTGAGGCAGAGATACATCTAGTAACTTGCTGAAGGTCTCACACACAGCTAGGCAACATGGTTCCAGATTCAAGGCCTTACCCCCTCCAGGTAGATACAATAAATTCAAGCAAAGGGCCTAGCACAGCACAGTAGTAAAATGTGGTCAAGCAGTAGCTAGGATTTTTATTCTGAAGGGAGAATTAATGCTTCAGTATGAGTTACATTCTGTGGGTTTTCATGCATTCCTTTTCCTGGTTTCATTCCCATCAATTAAAACTATAAACTTCAGATGTAGTGTTCTACTGTGTTCACTGTTCTGAATCTCTCTACATGGGTTCAGGTTAAGGGGAAAGACATAATGGGTAGTAGCTGCCAGATATAACTCCAGAAAAATACAAGACTGTGACAACCTTGCCAGTCATTAGTACAAATACAAAATTTTTCACCCACTTTCTTCCTTTGATTTTTGTTTCATCTATTTTTCTATGTCTATATGTCCAGGGAGATTTCTTTTCACATATTTAGCTATTATTTACTACTAGTAATGATATGCTTTCCTCTGTACCCAGAGATAGTTTAAAATAAGGCTGGCATTTATTGTGCATCTACTTTCTACTATGCCTTGTGCTTATACTCCACAAGAATCATCTCACTTAATCCCCACAGTGACCCTGTTTGAGAAGAACCATTGCTGGCCCTAACCTGTTTTCTAGGACACCAGGAGGTTAAGCACCTTGCCCAGCATCTCAGAGCAACCATCCCAACTAGAACTGGAAGATAATATCAACCCTCTCTCAGTAGCCCCGGCCACGCCTCCCATTGAAGGTCAATTTCTGCCATGAATATGTTAATAGATTATTTCAAGAAGGTGGAGAGCACTGTCCAGGACAGTGGATTACAGCTGGGTAATCCACACAACAGTGGAGCTGACCAGGTTGACCTCAGGGCTGATGCACTTACCAGCCGTCCAACCACTGCCATGGTCTCTGTCCCAGTCCAGACAGCATCCTCTCTCTCCCACCTGCACCACTGCACCCGTGACCTTGCTGATCTCCTTGCATTCTCTCTTGCCCCTTTCATCCACAATGCCTTCTCCACCCAGCGACCACGGGGATCATCTTAAATAGAAATATAATTGTGTCTCTGCCCTGCTTGAAATCCTTCCACAGTTTCCCATCCTGATTTAGAATGAGTGTATTAATGATCCGATTTACCCATTTAAAGGTCACTCTGTCTGCTGTGGAGTAGGGACAAGAGTGAAGCAGGGAGACTAGTTAGGAGCCTGTTGCCATGGCCCAGGTGGACATCATGGAGGCTTGACTAGGGAGTAGCAGTGGGGATGGAAAGAATTGGGATATATTTTGGGGCTCCTGGGTGGCTCAGTCATTAGGCGTCTGCCTTCAGCTCAGGTCATGATCCCAGGGTACTGGGATCGAGCCTTGCATCGGGCTCCCTGCTCGGCGGAAAGCCTGCTTCTCCCTCTCCCACTCCCCCTGCTTGTGTTCCCTCTCTCGCTGTCTCTCTTTCTGTCAAATAAATAAATAAAATCTTAAAAAAAAAAAAGAATTGGGATATATTTTGGAAAGAAAATTCAGAGAACTTGGTGATGGATTGCATGTCTTTATGCAGTGTTTTAAAATCCCATCAGAAACCTTTATAAAGGTTGCTCTGGTTCCCCAAGAGCATGGCATTCAAAACCAAATGAAATATAACAACTATACACTGACTTCCTACTGCATACATATCAAGAACTTTACCAGGAATTTAAAAAGAACAACAAGGTTCTGTGCTAGGAATTTAGAAACGAGAATTTAGAAAGAAGGAATAAGGTTCCTTCCCTCGAGGAGTTCACTCACAGTCCAGGAGGAACAGTAAGTATAAAAACAAATAAATTATAGCAGTGTGATCATTGTAACAGAAGAATTATCAGCAGGGCCCAGGAGGTGATGACATCAAGGTAGGGATTTAAACTTAGGAAGAACGTGAGTTTGAACATAAGATGCTGGGAGAAGGCATAATATGTAGTGTATCAAGGCTAAAATATAAAGTTTTCTTTCAAAATAAATTTATTCATGTTAAATAAGTCATTTTAAAGGAAAATGTCAAGTAAACCATAGAATAGGTGGACAGATCTAAGATAAATTGGCAAAGCGGAATGTGAGTGGCCACAGTTTGAGGCTCCCTTCATGTAAACAGGGGTGAGCCACGGAAGGAGTTTCAGCAGGGAAAGTCATGATCGCATTTGCAGATGGTAGGATGCATGTCACAGCCAGGAGGAGGATGAACATCATTCTGGGTGTCCCTGACAGCCCTTAAGAGTTTCCTCTACGAAAGGAGCGCCAGGCAGCTCAGGACTCGGAGGAGACGCAGAGTGGGTCCTTGAGTGAGTAGGCCTAGGGGAGGTGGGGTGGGGGGACCCAGCGCACTCAGCCTATTCTCTGGGGCTGTAATTCCCAGGTGGGCACCGGTCTGCCCCCAGTGACATTTACAACCACACAGAGTAGTAGGGACAACCCTGTGAGATTTCCATTCAGCTAAGTGTATTTCATGTGAAAAAATGGTCCTTGACCGAAGTCATGTCCTCTCTGCATTTTGGTGTTAAAATGTCACATCTGTAATAAAATGATTGTGATGTGAAAAAAAAAAAAAGAGTTTCCTCTACAAGGTGCCTGGGTGGCTCAGTTGTTAAGTGTCTGCCTTCATCTCAGGTCATGATCCCAGGGTACTGGGATCGGCCCTGCATCGGGCTCCCTACTCAGCGGGAAGCCTGCTTCTGCCTCTCCCACTCCCCCTGCTTGTGTTCCCTCTCTCTCTGTGTCTCTCTCTGTCAAATAAATAAATAAAATCTTTTAAAAAAAAAGAAAAAGAGTTTCCTCTACAGTTGTCTATGGAAGCAAAACTGGGGCTGGGACTGAAATAGTGAAGGTATGAAGGGGAGAGACTAAGCAGAGTGGAGAACTTTGCAGGAGGTAAAAGAAAAAAAAAAATATATATATATCAACTGCACTTGGTAATTAAGGAAAAAGGATGAAGAAACAGAGGGACCCAGGTTGACTCCTGGGTTTCTGGCTTAAAGGTCTGAGCAGATTTTGGCCACCAGCCAGTTCTAAGAGCCCCTGAAATTTGTCAAACAGTATAAATTTTAATTAGGTGCATTCTTCTTTATGTTCCAAAGCAGAAATTCTGATTCCAGGTGAAGTGAGGATTTGGATGTTGTCCAGTTGGTTTTTATAGCAGATAAAGCCAGTTTTGGACCTCAAGTATTTGAATGTTTTTGAGGATGACCAGATCTCTCCTCACTTGGTCCAGTAGAGCCTGAAAACCTCACTTCCTTGATCAGCACCAGTGGGCGGGCAGCAATCCACAAGGCCGATGGAGTAATTCATGAATGAAGTAACACTGCTCATAAAATCTCCAGATAGCTTAGAGTTGTGCCTCTGTGGTTCTTAATTCTCCTTTTATTTCATTTGTCTATATCAAGATTAATTTCCATCAACATAGGAGCATTTGGAAAAGGGGGAGAGGTATAGGGAGGACTTTCTATGTTGACTCCAAACTTCCTCCCTATAATATACCTGCATTTGACAGAATTACAGAAAAAGAAAGTCCCCGGGGGAAGGGGATGGAGGGGGATTCCTGACTGAGACTTGAAAGAGGCAAAGGAGTAATAGTTGTAGGATTTAGCATTCTTTTTCCTCCCTGTGCAGCACCTGGCAGGAGTTTCCGGATCTAATAGACTTTTAGCACATACAAAAATTAAGTCACAATGTAACATTTTCCAAGGTGCTTTCTGGAATCAATCAAGGAATCTAAGTCAAGTGTGATGAGGGGCCACAATTCCTTCTATAAATGGAAGTGAAACTTGTGGGCTGTCCTTCTCAATCACACAGGTTCCAAATCTGCTTTCTGTTTCTGAGCTGCATGCATTTCCTTGTTTATGAGTACCAAGCTTCATGGTCAAATGAATTAAACAGTGCAGTCACTTAAGCATTAATGCAACTCTGGTCTTTTTCCTTTTCCTTAGGTATTTATGGGCCATTGGTAAGAATGTCTGGAAGAGATGGAAGAAAAGGTTTTTTGTACTGGTTCAGGTAACTCTTCAACTCTGTCCGTCTAAGAGCCATCAGTATTAAAGATTTGATAGGAGTAATTAATGTTTTTTATTTGAGGTATAACTTACCTAAAGCACACACTGCTCAAGCATTTGGCTTAGTGAATTTTTATACATGTATAAGCATGTAACTAACCACCATGCAGAGGGATGTAGAACATTTCTGGTCCCCACAGCATTCCCTTGTGCTCCTTTTCCCTATTTCTATATCACTTAAATTTTTCAAAATTAATGGCTCATTCTTTTAAAAGTCTAAGAATACAGGAGCACATAAGGTAAGTAGGAGAAGTGGACTGCCGCACTGCCGGGATGGAGGTCCCCAGGGAGGAAGCAAGCACGTGCCCGGTTAGAGCACTAGGAACACTGACACTGCTTTAGAAGAATTTGCTATTTCTAAAGGCACTAAGATACTCATTATGAGAAAAGTCAGAATTTACTTAGACTTTTGACATCTATTTTACTGTGTAGTATTTTGATATTGAATTCCCTGTGGGGGCGCTCTCCACTCTTATTGATGCATGGAGCTTCCAGAAGTCTTAACTAACCTCCTATAACTATGTTTAACAGTCTGGAATGTATCTTTCCAGATAGACTCTTTTTTTTACTGTATAATTAAACTCTTTGTGTTGTCCTGCAGCTCACTTTTTGTTTTGTTTTGTTTTTTTTTAACATAAATCACTGTAGACACTTTTCCATGATTGCATATATAGCTCTGGCTCAACTACCTGTAGAATTTTCCTTTCTGAAGACTTATGGGCTTCCCCAGTTGGGACTATTATTAACCATGCAGCAAGGAACATCTATCCATATATAGATACAGAGGGAGGTGCAGATATTCGTATTAATAATACATGAGTAATATATAAATAGTACCTTTGCTATCTTGTCTATTTAAGAAAAATTTCCAGAAATAGTGATATTTGTCCTTGAGAATCTCCCCTGACTTTTTAAAATTTGGTTCATTTGCTTCTTGTACCAGGATTTTTCCATTTACAAGGAAATTTGCCATTGCCCCTTTTCAATTTCCAAGTTCCACCAAAGCATATAGAAAATTAATATATGCTGTATTCTGGAAGATGCCACAAAGCGAGTCAACTTGTAGTTTAGTGACTAAAGGTGTTCATTGGGTTACTGTGTTAACTATAAGCACTGACTGGTATTTAGGGCAATTCCAATTCTAAAACCTCACAATAAAACAACTGCTTCTTAGGTCTAATGGCCTTAAAAGTTCTACCAACTCTAACCTTCTAAGACTAGACTTTCTGTAGATTTAGTCAAGTTTCTGCTGTGCCACTAAGGAAAAATGCATCTCTCTGGCTATAAGCAAGAGGTCATCTTTGCTTTCATGATTGCTATGGGGTACAACAAAGCCTTAGAATAAATGAGCCCGAGGAAAACTTTGGAATTTTGCCCAACCCCCCAAATAATCCATGGGTAGGCAAAGGAGGACATTTCATCCTGAAATATATTTTCTCAAACTATCAACTGACCAACATTTATTGAGCCCCTACTTTGTGTAGCACACATTGGTAGGTCATAGAGAAGAACTATGAGGCCTGGTCTCTCACTTCCAGAAGGGTGTCTGTTAAGAGTGCTTTATATATGCAAACAGCAGAAACAGACCCAAGCTAATTAAGGTATTAATAATAATGTATTAGAAGGCTCTTGAGATAGTTTATAGGATTGTTGAAAAAGCTGAATGACCCATCCTTACTACAGGACTCAGAGTAGGTTCCAGAAATCCAGGCGGAGGGAACCACAGCCAGTCATCGATGTGGTCAGAAGACAAGATTGGCTCTGACCATTTTCTATCCTTGCATCTCCACTTGAGGGCCAAATATGAGAGAGAGATTGGTTCAGCTTGGGTCACACACCCAGCTTTTAGCAGGGGCAGGCCAAGGCACTTTGACTCACAGTCCCACTGGGCTGTCTCCAGTGCAAAATCAGGATGCCATTACCAGAAAGAGAAATGGATGCTGGACGGGCAAAAACAGCTGATGTCCCCTCTAAAGAGAGCTTGTTATAAACAGACAAAAATGCATTAAAAGAGGCAGGGCAAGATTATGCAAGGTTCTCCCCCTTCAGTGCTTCTCACTGGGCACAGCAGCCTGTCTTAGAATCCCCTGTGTGTTGGCCTGGCCTCCCAGGCAGCACTGGAGCATGCTCTGTAGAGCCCAATGCACAAACCACACAGAAGCAGCATGTCTACCCGAGTGACTTACTGAATGTTTATTCCTCTCTACTCGGACGTTAGGTCTTGGGAGGTGTTTTTATAAAGAGTTTGCAACACATAATTTCCAACACAGTTATGAATTTCGTTAGATTTAATACAAGGAAAATAATTTGAAAAACCTAAGAGGAAGAGAACACATCCAACACCAGTCTCCTCAGAATCATCTCCCCTCCCACCCCCAGGTCTCCCCTCCACCACACACACAGACAAGCACACAGAGTCTATAATTTTGGCTGTCATGCAGTGCTATTAAAATTCTCCCTAAGTGAGATTTCCTTTTAGTGCTACTACCTTGGAGGAACCAACAGATAGATTGTAAATGGACTTCCTACTAGCCCGGGACAAAGGACATCCTCAGAGGGATTTTGAACCCAAGCAGCGATTCCCATTTTTAAGGACTGGGGCTACATCATTATAGATGTGGCTGGAGGCTGCCCACCCCCCCAGGCGTGGAAAGAATGAGGCAGATGCAGGGTGTTTCTGTGCTGGAGACTTAAGTATTCCTATGCAATGAGATGGTGTTCTCCAAGTATGGGCCTGAACCACCTTACTGGGTGCTATTTAAAATCCACATCCCAGGACACCATCCAGAAGATTCTGATGCAGTAGGTCTGGCATGAGGCCAAGGAATCTGTATGTTTTACAAGTACACCAGGAGATACTGATGCAGGTTTGTCCAGAGACTACCTTTGGAGAAACATTGCCTCAGTCGTCATTGTCCTTTTTAAAGGGAAGGCTCCAACCCCTTTAGACTACACCCTCTCAGAGTTTATGCCCTCCATGGAGCTGAGCATCAGAGTAGCTACACAAATGATTATATGCAGATGAAATGACAAAGCTTCCTCAGTGATGTTCCTTTACATTCCAGTAAATGTCCCCAAATAATGGCTGCAAACTCTAACCCAGAGATTAAGAGAAAATTAAGAGCACTCCAAATCAAGAAATTGCTGGTAAATTCATTCTAAACCCTAGATGCCATGGTAAGGACTAAACACACTGATTACCATTGTTAGGAACTCTGACCAAACCAATGCTAATGATGAAGGTGCCAATTCCATAGAGTTCTAACTAGAGCTCCCCACCTTGGGTGTATAGGGGAGAAATGAAAGCAGCCAACTCATCACCCAGACCAGGCTAGAAAGTCTCATCGCTATGATCTTTTTATTTTAAAAATATTGGTACTCAATAAAATAAATTAAATTTAAAAATAAAATATTTTTACTCTATGCCTAGAAGACTTCTGGTTAAAATCAGTTTTTGATTGGTCGTCATCCAAAGTATTTCTGAGCCTTTTTTCCCCCTTTTAGAACCATACAAACCATAATATTCTGTGTTTCTTCTGATAATGCTAACAATTGCTTATATTTATATGGTCTCTTAGACTTTATAAAGTGTTCATCAAGTTGGTCTTTACAACCTTTCTACACTGCAGTGAGGATAAGTCTTATCCCATTTCATATTTGAGGAAAGTGAGGCTCAGAGTGGCTAAGTGACTTGCCCATGGTCAACAGCTATTAGGCAGCCAAGGTGAAACCTAATGCACGTCTTCTGACTCCAAAGGCTTTCCGTGATTCCAAGCACTCAGGTGGAACAGGTCCCCAAAGAGATTTATGCATATACAATGTTCTAGAGCTCAATTACCTTGTATCAGATAGAACCAATATCCTAAATCCATATCCTATTGCTGATTCTCTACAGATAATGTAAAGACTAAACACTCTGACTGCTTCAGCTTTCAGAAAAATCACTAAATCTGAATAAAATATTGTCAGATAATGTAAAATGCCTTGGAATATAGCAGTTGTCACCCAGGAAACCATATTAAAGTAACTTAACCCCCCCAAATGAATTGTAAAACATATAAGTAGTTGAGTGATTTATAACTCTCTGAATGAATGTCTATTTTTCCCACCCAAAATTACATTGCCTTAAAGGGCATTTCTATTTATATTCTGGTTGCAAATGACAACAATCAACCCAACTAGCATACGTTATAAAAAGGGAAGAACTGTATTGGTTAGTTAATTAAATTAGCAGTTGAATAAAGAGTTTTCTGGCATGGGTAGGTCCAGGTCTCAAACACAGCCATCAAGGCTTTGACTCTCGATCAATACCATCTCGCTCTCTTTTTTTTTTTAATTTTATTATGTTAATCACCATACATTACATCATTAGTTTTTGATGTAGTGTTCCATGATTCATTGTTTGCATATAACACTCAGTGCTCCATTCAATATGTGCCCCCCTTAGTACCCATCACCAGGCCAACCCATCCCCCCTCCCCTCTAGAACCCTCAGTTTGTTTCTCAGAGTCCATAGTCTCTCATGGTTCATTTCCCACTCCGATTTTTGACCATGCTCTCCGATGAGCTGGCACCACCCTCAAGCAACATCTCTCCATGCAGCATAATAAGGTGGGTCAAGATTTACAGCAGTTTAGCAGTCCCAGAGGAAAGAAAGCTTTTCATTCTCTGTAGTTTGAGTTCATCCCCTAATTGATCTTTTGTTGGCCCAGTGTGGTCATGTGCCCATCCCTGCACCAATCACTGCTGCCAAGGAGATGTGATGCTGATTGGCTAGGCCTGGGCCACATGTCCCACCCACCCTACCTCCGCACTGAGGCTCAATTAGCCCTAAACAAACTATATAATGGGCTGAAAGTGGGGAAGGCCGTGATTCCCCAAGTAAAATCAAGATTCAGCTACCAGGGAAATGAATGCTCTGTATTCAAATATAAGAAATGTTCC